AGGGGACATAGCTTTAAATTGAGGGGTGATAGATATAGGACAGATGTCAGAGGTAGGTTCTTTACTCAGAGAGAAGTAAGGGGTGGAATGCCCTGCCTGCAAAAATAGTAGACTCGCCAACTTTAAGGGCATTTAAATGGTCATTGGATAAACATATGGATGATAATGGAACAGTTTAGGTTAGATGGGCTTCAGATTGGTTTCACAGGTCGGCGCAACATCGAGGGCCAAAGGGCCTGTACTGCGCTGTAATGTTCTATGTTCTATGTTCTATGTCCAGGAGCCCCATTCAGTTCAGGACGGCAGAGCGGGGAAGTGGGAGGCCCAACTGGAGGGTCAGCAGCCTCACTGGGAAAGGTGGGTGCTGCCGAAGCAGGCAGGAGACCATGACATGTCTCGTAAACATTGTGAAAAATCAAAATGAGCAACACCACGTGTCCACAGCTATAAGGTTATCATCGAACCTCCCCAAAGGATGGCATTCAGCTGCAGCTGTTTCCTTCACATCTCAGCAGAGCTGCCCTGATCTGATTGACAGGAAGTGATGGTTATCCGACAGTCAGCTGCCTGGAGGCCTCCTCTGGTTACCTGCTGGGTTCTACCAGTTTGGCCATACCATAAGCTTTCCCCCAACTGGCTCTTTAGCCTCTGGCTGGGTCAGTGAAAGCCAGGACCATGTCAGGCAAGTGACTCAACAACCAATTTTATTCCAACGTCTCCTGGTGCCACCTCTGAACCTTCCTCCACGGCCTTTGGGGAAATTCAGCCTTCTTATCACTGATCCGAACGGAAGAATGAGAGACCAGTAAATACTAGAGACCCCCAAATCAGATTTCAGACTTCCCTGATACAAATCAATTTGCTCAACGAGTCACAAATTCTCATTGTTCGATCAACCGTTCAACTGAAATCTACCATGGTACGAGAAGCATTTCATCTTTTAATTTTACATTTTTGATTCAAAACAGCTGTGAATTCTGAATGGAGCCTAAGTGTCACTCCAAACAGAACTGAAAGTGTTCTCATCAGCACAAAGCCCAAGAGAATGCAATCAGCATCAACAATTACAAGAGGGATTCCTTTATCAGACGGACGGTGCCTGTGAGGTTGTATGAGCAATGACCAGAGGTTTTAGACCATGCCTCATTAATATTCATTCTCACTGCTTCACATAATTAGACCAGCATACTGAATTACACACATTGAAATATTTCAGCCATGCGGTGGGTACTCGAACATTTCAATAATGTTATGAATAAATCATGGCTTTCTCAGAAATTGTTTTCAGGCCTTTTTGAATGAAAAGGATGTGGAAAAAAAAGAGTTGATGTCAGTAAATGTAACCATGAAGCTGTCTGATTGTCATTGTTGTAATAACAAACCGAGCCAAGCCAAACCAGACTGAACAGACCCATACTCTGAGCAGGTGCACCTGAAAATCAGTAAACCTCAGGGACAGGGTCAGGGATCCCAGAATCTGAACCCAGTGCCATTCTTAAAAAGTCGAGGAGGGTCCTACCCACTAACCTCATCCCGCCCCCTTGACCTGTCCATCCTCCCTGGACCGACCTATCCCCTCCCTAACTCCCCACCTACATTCACCTTTACTGGCTCCAACCCTGCCTCTTTAACCTGTCTATCTCCTCTCCACCTATCTTCTCCTTTATCCATCTTCTATCCGCCTCCCCCTCTCTCCCTATTTATTTCAGAATCCCCTTTCCCTCCCCCATTTCTGAAGAAGGGTCTCGACCCGAAACGTGAGCCTTCCTGCTCCTCTGATGCTGCCTGGCCTGCTGTGTTCATCCAGCTCTACATCTTGTTAGCTCAGATTCTCCAGCATCTGCAGTTCCTACTAATTCAGACTGGGAATCTTCCAGGTTACTGGCCAGATGCCTGCCCTGATTGTTATTGGTGACTTCTACAGAAAGTATGTCAATGTGAAAATACTGTGTGAACGGGATCAGGCTTAGCCGGGAATGTTCCTAACAAAAATCAAATGACATTCAACATCTAGGCTTGAAAACAAAAAATAACCTCACTGATGTCAGAAATAGTAAGAACTGCCAATGCTGGAGTCAGAGATAATGCAGTGTGGAGCTAGAGGAACACAGCAGGCCAGGCAGCATCAGAGAAACAGAAGATGGCCTGCTGTATTCATCCAGCTCCACACTATGTAACCTCATTGATGTGTTAATTAGAAGGTGGCTTTCACCATACCTTTAGAAGAGAAGAAAAATAACATTGGCTTATTAAAATGCTGGCATCCTTTATTTTAATTCACTTCATGGATATGGACATGGCAGGTAAAACCAGCATTTATTGCTCATCTCCAGTTATCATCTGAAAAATTTTAGTATTCCAGAAGATTTGCAAAGAGAATAAGAATATTACAAGTTTAAGATGATGGTTCACTTTCTTACAGACTCCTAAATACCTAGGGTACATATGAAAAAATTGTTCAGCTGCAGGCCGTTCCTTTTGTCCATCAGATGTGGTGGATGGAAGATCGCGGGCTCTAGGTGCTTAAGTTTGAAATATTTACATATTTATATCTCTCAAATAGCTAACAAAGTTCTCTACACAGCTGCTAAGGTAACTGTGAGGATAAAGTATTGCTCAGGATTTGAGCCAGCTACAGGAGAATTGGCAAGCCAACTATTACATTTTCCTCTGCCCACCGGCTCCAAAAACAACCAGTAGTCTAAACAAGGTGGGTTTTCTACTGCTGCCAGAAAATGAACGTTGGGTTTGTGTGGGGATTCCATGGAATCCAATGCCCACTCACATAGTAAACAGTCTAAGAAGGCAGGAGAATGGAATCAGTGCCTGCTGGCCTGAGCATCCAGATGAGTAAGACATAAACTGAAGCCAATTAAGTGTCTTTCTGGCAACTGCAAAATTTCAGAACTGGCCTTGGATATATTTTTGAAGCTATTCTAAGGCAACAGTCACTGCAAAAGTTGGAAACGGGCAATAAATAATAGAGAATGCTGGAAAGATTGAAATTATTTTTGTAGAAGGGTGAAAACAGGCACTAACTGTGCCAGTGATAGTAGGAACTGCAGATGCTAGAGAATCTGAAATAACAAGGTGTAGAGCTGGATGAACACAGCAGGTCAAGCAGCATCAGAGGAGCAGGATGGCATACCTAACTGTGCCATACCTGTTATAAAATGTGATTTTGGTGCATAATTTTTAACCTTATTGCTGATTGCCCTAATTTGAATTCAGCCTGGAATTCTAAACAGGTACTGCAGGTTTAGTATTCAAGGGCTAATTCAGTCCAATTTCCATGGACCAGTTCTCGTGGCTGCACTTGTTCCCTTCCACAGAATGTGTGGAGCATTCTGCTTCAAACAGAGTGATACATTGCAGGATGATTCAGTGACCCAAGCATGCACATGATCTCGAACAAATCATTAGAAGTAAATAAGGGTCAGAGGAAGAGGGATGTACCAATAATGGGGATAGCGTCCACCTTGCACCTCGTCCTTCCTCTACACCCACTTCCCCATCTCTCTTGTCTCTCCCTCTCGCAGCTGATCCAGTGCTGTTTGGTGTTACCTTCTCCACCCTTTCCTTCTGCAGACCAAAGGGACCCTGAGTAAGATGCTGATGATCAAACCCTCCTGGTGATTCCGATAAAGCATCCTCATAGAACACAGAACTTACTCTTCTTAAGTGAAGCCCTCAGAGACTTTCCAGAATAAATATTTACAGAATGTTGGTGAAATCTTGGCAAAATATCACAGAGAGTCTCCTGATTTCAGAAATCCTCTTCAAACCTCCAGCAGTCATAGATTCAAAAAGATGATATACTTTTAAGCAGGAGTTGAAATCCTCCACTATTCGGAAGTTACTCCCAATCAGCTAGTTAACTTAGTTCAAGTGTTATTCATAAAGATGCTGTGCAGACTCTTTCATGAAGAATTCTAGCAGGCAATTTAAGTTACAATCAGCAAAGCAATCCTCTGACCAGTTCTTCCTGGTGGTGGCAAGAAGCAGCCTCACATTACAATGGGCTAAACCAGTTTAAAATTACATCTTGGCCACAATGGAATCATTTTTGAGCCTAAATTATCTTGGGAAAACTGCCCCAGATAACCCCTCAACACCAGAAAAGAGACAGAGTAATGGTTCAGGTACAGGCGTTTTACAAAGTCACAATCATACCGATGTGAACAGTTCTTGTGGGGTAGTGGTAGTATCCCTACCTCTGAGCCAGGAGGCCTGAGTTCAAGTCCTACCTGCTCCAGAGGTGTATAATAATGTCTCTGAATGGGTTGATTGGAAAATCCGATCAAACCTAACCTTGATCTCACTAATACTAGGATTCTCCTGAACAAACCTCTGTGTCTGTCTTTTCAGCAAAATCACATTGTTGCTTTGTCTTTTCTTCAGAATGAAAACCGTTCTGTTCTCCCTTGATACATAAATGGATTATTCAAATCTTTCAGTTTCTTATACCTCTATCTTCTAAGTGAGACTCCACCTGACATCTCAAGTGGGCTGATAGAAATTCCATATAGGAGCAAATTACTGCAGATGCTGGAATCTGTACTGAAAACAACAAATGCTGGAGATCACAGCGGGTCAGGCAGCATCCATGTAGAGAGACCAAGCTAATGTTTTGAGTCTGGATGACTCCTCATCAATGCTCTGATGAAAAGACATTTAGACTCAAAACATTGGCTTGCTGTGTCTCCATGGATGCTGCCTGACCCATTGTGATCTCCAGCATTTGTTGTTTTCATTGTAGAAATTTCATATCATTGTGAATAGAAAAATGGGCAAGTTCTCTCAAAATGTTGGCTGATATTCATACCTTAGCAAACATCACTAAAACAGATTACACAGTCCTATATTGCATGACTGTTCTTAGGGCCTTGATAATATTGTATTAGCTCCCATATTTCCTCACTTTATAAAAAAAGCTGCAAAGTAATAATATTTCCTCCATTGTGAAGCACTAAGGGGATATTAAGATCCTGAGATCATGACTGGTTCCAAATGAGTGCAAGTTATTTTCTTCCTATGGCGGAATATTCTCTACATACATAAGCTGTTCGGGAATACAGTAGTCAATTCTTGAAAATGTAAATCACATTTTGAAATTAAGCAACTTTGTTCTGTCTGTAAAATAGTGATCAACTTGAATCCCTTCCTTAAGCATAAATTATTATGAAAAATCAATAAAGTACATCATAGAAACATTGACTTCTGCTTGTATTCCCAAATTTCAGATTTGTCACCTTAAGATACCATTACAAGGTGGGTGGAAAGCACATTGTTCAGCAATGTAACAGATACCCACCCACTGCATACCAGAACTAGGAGTAGTCACTTTATGCAAATCAAAAGAATGTTCTCCACATTGCTCTTGCCAAACTGCAGTCTAATAGTGGATCCTAATGATTTATTTACGAATCCAAGAATCATCAGCCTTAGCACCTATCTTTGCAAAGTAGATGGCAAAAATCCAAATGTCTTGGTTATTTGGATTCTAACAATGCTAAATACCATTAAATTCATCTGGAATGCATCTTCAATGTGACATATATCCTAAAAAAATGCATTTATTTTTAACTGAAACAAGTGCTTTACATAACTTTGTAACAATAAAAGCATGGTGAGGGGGGGACAACGTTGGAAAAGGGAGAATTGGACTCCTTCACCATTGATGTTACATTGCATCCATCCTTTTCTGAGCCTCATCCACAAAGCCCTGCAAGTGCTACATTTGAGAACTTATACACTTTTGGGCCAGAGTCATCCTGCAATATACTAGCTGGTGCTCTCCACACCTTCTGTGAAAGTGAGTCAGTAGAGCCTGCATTGGTTTAGTCAGCCCTTCAGTATGAAACCTGCTATCTGTTTAGCACTTCTGCTTGAGTCCACCCTTCAGTAAAATTAGCTAAATGTGCAGCTCCTTAATGTAATAGAATTTGCATTTAAGAACCTGATCTAGAGTTTGTGCTTCAGATACAATTGGTGATCTTGAAGAAAATTGTGGCTGTTCTGATAATTTATTTTTCTCTCATTTCCATTAGAATTAATTTGCATAGTGCCAAAGTTTCATATCGGTCACACAGCAATGCTATTGGACTACATTTTGAATTTTTTTTAGTTTATATCCTTTGATGCATTGAAGAGTGGAATTGATAACAATTTGATTAATACAGCTGGAAATGGTTTAGCATGAGTTTGAATGGCTGAAA